GCATGAAACAACTATTTGCTAATCAAATGAATACTACCAATGAAAGAAAAATTCTAGTTTTCTTTCAAAAAGTATGAATAAGAAATTCATCTTAAATACTTACGTTGGCATACCATGACGCTTGGCAACCCTAACACATTTTGGTTGTTCGGATAGCAACAATAAAGACATTAGAAAATGGAAAACTTAAAGGTTAAAGAGCATAAATGAAAGAACAAAAGCAAGAAAGTTTCTAGGGGCATACCTTCAAAGTTCATGCGATAAGCGAGCCACTCTACTTACATATAATTCTAGAAATATAACTCTGTAATCAACATATTTATGAGTACTTAACGTGATAATAAAAGCCATAAAAACAATCTAAATGTAGATAACCAACCTTCTAAAAATAAAAAAATGACTTAATTATATCATTATCATTAAATAACAACATTATAAAGGAAAACATGGGCAAAAAATTATTAAATCACAAAGGCAATGCGAGTTCAAAAAATCATCAAATCATAGAACATCTATAGAATGAATCGACCAAAATAAATTTTGTTTGACATTACAAAACTTATAGACATTCAGCATTTAATCCTTAAATGTTGCTCAAAAAGCTAAATCTAAATGCTAGATTTCTATACCCATAAAATTAGAAAGAAAAGAAATAATAAGCTAAAATTTCAATAGTCCATTAACAAACGAGCATAAATTAAGCGAGACCTAGAAAAGAAAATCAAAAAAATATGCAAAAACTCATTTATGAAAGAGAGAAATTCAATAAAATCGAGTCATCGACACTTGAAAATCAATTCCTATAGCGAGTAAAAGTTAATAAGGAGGGAAATTGAATACCAAGTCCTAAAGAGATGAATTAAAATAAAATAAAATATAATATCAAGACCTAAAGAGATAAATTGAAAGAAAATTGCATACTTAAAAGAAGATAGAACTTCGACCTAATGTTGCCCAAACCTTCGATAAAAAACTATAAAAAATTTTCCAAATTAATAGTTGCTAAAACTTTAACCTAAACCAACATTTAACCGATACATTAAGAATGTGTTTCAAATATGAAGATAGAGCGAGACGAGAGACGAGAGACATAGATAGAGAGAGAGAGCAAAAGAGAGAGAGAGAGAGGAGAGAATTGATGTGTTTCGTAGGAGAGTGAGAGAAAATTAAGTTGTTTAGCGAGTTAAGAATTTTATTAGAAAATTTAAATGCAATGGTTTGCAACCTTTGCATAAAATACTTTTATGGAGCGAGTTTTAATAAAATGCTACATATTAAAATCATATGCAACGATTTACTTAGTTTAGTATGAAAAAACATAATTTCACTCGAAAAAGTTTTAAATCGCAATAAAATCATTGCATATGATTTTGTTATGTAGCGGATTTTGAACCGTTGCTAAAAAACCATTGCATAATGTAAAAAATACGGTAGTGAGGGTTTAAGATTTTTTTTTTTTTTTTTTTTTTGGTTTAGAGTTTAGGATTTTAGGTTTTAGGTTTTAAAGTTTTTGATTTATTTAGGAATTTTGGGTTTAAGGTGTATAACTTATTTAGGGGTTTAGGGTGTTAGTGTTGGTGTCTAAAATCCAACCATGTTTGGATGGGCCCAAGTTAATGTATTATTGCATCATTTAATAAAAAAGTCATTCTATTAATTCTCATATTTACATATTGATAAATTCATTAGAGTTAGATAGAAGTTCTTATGATATGCATTTGCAATAGGGATTGATCGAAAGATGTGAGACAAACACTAATGCACAAAAATGATATCATTAAATGTCCCAAATCGAAGCATTGTCGAGAATGGACATTAACAATATGCGGATAGGCTTGTGAGTGCTATGCTTATGCTATATGATAGTAGTAGGAGATCTTACACCTATTGGCATGGTGATACTAAAAGAAGCACTTTGGTGATTTATTTTAAAGAATATATTACTTGGACTTGACTTGCCATGAGAACCCATTTGGTTTTAGTCTATGGGAATCTTATACGAGATGGGTATAAATGGTCCTTAGACTTGAAATCATCATAGTTATCTTATTGGAGGACTTATGCACTTTGACACTCGTTTCGATGGACCCATTAATGGGTTGCACGTGGGTGATTCGTTGGGTGCTCTAGGAATCCAATAGAGATAGGTGTATGACTAAAATAGGCATGTCATTTCATATATGCTAAAAGAGTTATCATATTACACTTTGATAAATGTTTGCTTAAGAAATATGTGACCGCAGTAGGAGTACACCAATAAAGCAAAGTTGGTTTACTCTAAGAGTTAAGACATTTGAGAATCGAAGAAAACTTGTGTGATCATAATCGAAGAAGACTAATAACCAAGTTTGAGATTAGATTATGATAAGTTGACATGAGGACTGAATTGTATGGTAACCATACTCGTGAAACGTAATAATGGATCAACTAATCCTCCTAGAGAATTGGATAGTCATGATACCTTGCTAGAGGCTAATCTCGATTTATGTATCCAGAAATAAAAGAGGAGTTTTTATTCTTAATGCATTGTCACTATATCTAGAAGCCTATTAAGTCACATGCATAAGTTTAAGTATTCACATTACAAATGAGAAGCAAAGATATTAGAAAAAGTTTTCAATTATAAAATTTTTCTATTTTGGAAAGAGTTTCCAAAATGGAAAGTTTTCAAAAATAAAAATTTTTCAAAAATGGAAAGTTTTCTATTTTAGAAATCAGTTTTCTAATTTAGAATTTAGTTTCAAATATGAAAATAAAGAACCTAAAAGGAAATGAGTTTCCTATTTAGGTTAAAGGGTATTTTGAAAATTGTTTCCTAATATGGACCCTACCAAAATAATCTAAAAATATTTATTTTGATAGTACAAATAAATTAATTAGGCTAAAATGGTTTTGGCTCGTTAGATTTAATTAAAAAGCTTAAAGATAATTTTGGTGGGAGGATAAACATCAACCTTATTGGATAGGGATTGATGTTTTAAAGATAAACATTAACCTTATTGGATAAGGTTGAATGTTTTAAAAGATAATAATCAAGTAGTCCACATATAAAATAACTCCTCATCCTTGAAGGATAAGGAAGCAATAATCTAGAGTCCTTTATGGACTTAAAGCCTCCCTTTTCCTTGTCCTTATAGGAGAAAGAAATTATTTCCCTATAAATAGAAGGATAGGTGCGGCATGAAGATGATTGATCAACCATAGAGTATTTTTGCCAAGTTAAAAAGAAAAGGAGAAATTCAGCCAAAAGGAAAAAAAAAAAAAAAAGGTGGGAGATTTAGGCCAGCCTTAAAAATCACTTAGGGCACACACCAAAGAGAGAAAATAAAGGAGAAAATAGTTTTCTTTTAAACCTAAGCTAGAAATGCTCTTTCCTCCTCTTTTAAGGTTGTCACAAAATTACCTAGAATTGATTTCTAGAGAAAATACTTAATCGGAAAAGGTAGAGTTAGCACAACATCAATTTTGAGTGCTTCTTTATGGATTCTTGGACTGCGTGAATCATCAATAGAGGTCGGACACTTGGATGACTTTATTGAAAAAGAGTTTAGATTTGCACTATAAGAGGCAATCCTTTACTTATATCTTGTTATTCATGTATGTATGGTTAATAAATTCAACTCGCTTGATCTTAATGCCTTAGATGGAGAAATTTTTTTATTTATTTCGCATCTCCATAGGATGCATGATCCTATATAGGGTTTATTTTAGGTTGTTCAAAACAACAAAGAAGGGCTTCTCGCATAAGTCAAGTAGATTTTGAAAACTCTTGGTAAGATTTTCCTAGTATAACTTTCACCCTTAATCATTTTATACTTTTTATTATGAAATTTGTTCATTTTTTAATGTATCTAAAGCTTATTAAACTTTTTGAATACGGAGAGTGAAATTAGTGAAACTATGCTTGATGATATGTACGTAAGCCGAATGAAGGAGAAAATTTTGATGCTTGTTCTCCTAATACATCACTAAAATCTAAAAATTGTGAAAATCTATCTTAGAATACATTGTCGTCATAACCAAAAAAACAACCACAGTTTCTCAAAGGATAATTAGAGTACTTTAAAAAAATAATAATAACAAAATTGTTAACAGAGTTAAATTGAGGACAGTATATGAAATTTTTCAAAGGATGGGTCAAAAAGGGAAACTAAGGGTAAAATAAAGGATGATATTGTAATATTTACTCTAAAAACTAACTGGTCTTGTTATCGTTTTACTTAGAATAATTGTCTTTAGAATCAACTATGTTGCTTTGAGTGGATTTGGATTATCCTAAATCATGATCAGGTTAATTTAGAAGGAATCAAATGATAAGATAAAATAAAATAAAATAAAATTAACATTTATATAATCATCATCTAATTAATTAATATACTTAAATAATAAGATTTCCTTTTCTCCCTTCTTTGCAATGTTGATTTGTTAAATGCTACAAGGTTACATACAGATAATATAGATATAGGCTATAGGTAGGATGGAAGTAAAGATCTTAATTACTAGTAATAAATATACAAGTCTAATCGTGCATCTTACATCACATCACCTCATCTCTCCTCACTATCGAAGTGTTATTATAAATAATTAAAATTTGAAATGGATTGGAAAGGTTCACAGTTGAGGATTTGGGATGAAATCCTAAACCCATATCAAGGGTCAATGTTATGCCTCCATTTATTTAAAATCAATAATATTTTAATATTCCATAAATGTAAAGAGTTGATTTTTGTTAGCTGGAATAATCTTGACAATATCGCAGCAACGCAAGTGCAACGTGACATTCGGTTCGCATGGTCATGGTCATGGTCATGGTTAACCTACTTATGCACTGACTAGACAGTAGGCTGGGGAATAATAAATGCGTAATAGCTAGCTAGGAGTAGCACTGACACAAACAAGAAAATATTAATATGTAGCAGAATCTTGGTTTGATTGAGGAGTCCAAGATTATAAGGCCATTGACGTAGCGCCCCCTACAAATGTTTTTCGTGTACAAGAAGATGTTCATCCAATATTCTAGCACACAATTGATCTCAAATGGCATACTTATGAAGTAATTGATTTGTGATGCACTATGTAAAAGCATATTTTTTCTTTGCTATTCTTTTCCTTTTCCAAGACATTTGACATTTCTAGCCAATGATTGTAGGGCTAATTGTCCAAAGAGCTACCTATCAAGGACAATAGGCTGGGACAAGTACCCTCATGGCGGATGGGGTGATTCTCGCAATCCATCTTATGGTGCTTCATCTGATTATCAGGTACATATATTTACTAAACTAGATTCTTTGGTTTTTTTTCCTTTTAGGATATTTTGAAGTTAATCTCTTCTTAAGGCCATCTAGTGCGATTTACTTCACTTGCAATCTAGTTAGTTGCAGAAATAACTAATAAAGTTGAGTAGTTATCTTTTGAATGTAAGGTATAACAAAGTATATTTATGCATTTATGTTGCTTTTGCATACGTTCTATCATATAAGCAATGTAGAAGGCCCATTGCAGAGTCTTCCCCGTTCTTTGTCATGTTTCTTTTTACCATACATTCTCACATCAGTGATCTAATTGATATATGGGTTTATTTGAGAAAACACATCCACTTCTAGGGGTTTTGTCGACCTTGAAGGAAAAAATAGATAGATGGGAAGGTTATACATGAAGTAAATGAAGGTAAAAGAGATGTTTATTAGCAAAATTAGGAAGCATGTGGGTTTTTTTGGAAAGTCTTGAGAGTTCCTTGTGATCATGCAGACTAATTGTGTGAAGAAAATCAATAACAAATTTATGTAGCAACAAATTTAAGATTTTTTTAGATTGGATTGCTAGTTCTTCTCCTCCTCTTTATATTTTTTTTTAAAAAAAAATACTAGCAGGAGAATATTATGTTACAATAGGGAGAATAGGTTATTGTTTCAGCAGCCCAAAGTGCCTGGCCACACCTCTGAAACAAACCTTGCAACGAGGACACATGCCCAAATCTCAATTATCTGTTGGATGGAGAGAGTTAAGAGTGAGAATGGATTGAACAGAAATGAAGAGATGTTTGACTTTTCTCTTTCTCTTACATAACTCCCAAATGAGGACAAAGGTTAAATTACTTGTGGCTGTAGCAGTCCTCTACTCGCGTTGCTTTGAGAAATTTATTGTACAGAAATTTAGATTTTATGTATTCTGTTTTTCTATACAGTTCTTACGACCCCAGGCAAGTGGCAAGAAACTTCTTCAAGAGTGGGTTGTCCCCTTGAGAAGTGTTGAGGATATAAATGAGGACAAAGGTTAAATTCCTTGTGGTTCATGTTTTCTTTTAGCGTTCAGTAACTCTGATTTGTTAAGTAAACGAGGTTTATAAAGTAAACGTGCAAGGATAACCTTGGGGATCTATTATATGAAGGGACTAGTAAAAGATTTGAGCTCCTGTTTTTATATTTGGACTGCAGTAGACTTTTGATCTTGTTTTGGTAAAGAATCTAAGGTGAAAATGGTCCTCATGTCGTTTGCCTTAGCATGATTATGGAAGGCACAGATGACATCTCTGACTCGATTAACCCATGCCTCCAACGCCGTGCAGGTTGGGGAGTATGTATATCAGAAGGCTTATCTAGAGTTTTTCTGCTCCAAGGACAAGATGAATGCTCTTGGTGACAAGTGCAAGGCTTTCCCTTTCGTAACTCACATGGCTGTCAACAAAGGAGGAAGTTGGATATCTAATGTTGCCTTGACTGACGTGAATGCTGTAACTTGGGGAGTCTTTCCCAGCAAAGGAGATTATCCAACCAACAGTTATGGATCCTACCAGCTTCAGTGTGTGGAAGGATGAGGCATTTGAAATCTGGTCAAGAGTATGGGCTTCCTTGTACCCAGAGGGTGACCCATCCAGAACACTACTTCAGGAGGTAAATCTCTTCATAATTACAAGTCTCGTGTGCATATATCTGTTCTATGCATTCATACATTCATTTTTGCAGGTGTAGATCAGCTACTTTTTGGTCAGCTTGATAGATAACGATTACATCCATGGAGGATATTTTCACTGTCTTTGCAGAATTATGAGACTACGTGCTCTTTGCGGCTTCCTCTATTTGCAAAGAGTCCATCAAAGTCGCACAAAATGGTGCATTATCCGAAATTGAATTCTACCTTTATTCTTCTTATGGACTTACTATGTTTTCGAATTTTTTTCCTCTTTGATCTGTAATAATAATTCATTGGGTATTTGATACTCTCACGATTATGGTGCAAATTGCATCTGGAGTAGCAACTAATTTACTAAGCCTAAAGAAAATATGATTGCTTTTTTTTTTTTTTCCTTCTGCCTTCTTTTCAATTGAGCTGCTGGCTTCCTTTTTCTAGTTGTCTCTTGAGATACTAAAGAACTTAGCTTTATAAATTACTGCCAAACTAGTAGGGTTTAACCCCAAACAGCATACAGATTAGCAGCTCCCGACCACCATCACCAACCAGCCAGCACTAAAAAAAAAAAAAAAAAAAGAAAAAAAAAGCAAAATAAAATCATAAGCATAGAAATTTGTCCAGTAAAACAATCAACTACAAGGGCACAAAAATCAAGTGCAAACTGAAAAAGGTCCGTCGGTGTTATGTTAAATTCATCCTTTGAAACTAGCCAAAATGGATAAAGAGGATTCTGGAAGGAAGAAGAATCACGCAATCATAAAATACTTTACTAGTTTAAACAATTCTGATTGCCGGAAACTTTCCTAGATCCCAATACAGCCCAAAAATTAAAAAGTGATATGTTGTTACATGTTTGCACAAAACGGTAGGAACAAAGGGGATAAAATCATTAACAGGTCCTCAGCACGGAATTTATGAAAACCAGAAGAAGGCGTATTTCTGCATGGGCTTCTGAGGCAGACGTGCTGGGTAGACTCCTTTGACTGATCACTATCTGATAGACCTGACCAAATATTGGTCTTAATTGCACTCAACCATTGTATCAACACAGTTCATGGCAGCAGCCACATGTCATTCATTCCAACGTTCTAGAGCTTTCCATACTCATATCACATGCCAGTTGTTGTAGAAGGGCCAGCAGAACTCTTGGCTCAGAGGTAGCGGTGACAGGAGCAGTATCGTCTGTAGATCAACCTGAAAAAACAAGCAAATATAAATCACAGTTGATACTATACTATTTTGAATAGCTTACTGTTCATGCTAAGTACTTGATATATTTGAATTTTTGCTATAGTACAACGGATCACTGTCTGATAGACCTCACCAAATATTGGTCTTAATTGCACTCAACCATTGCATCCACACAGTTCATGGCAGCAGCCAAATGTCATTCATCCCAACTTTCTAGAGCTTTCCATACTATATATTGCATGCCAGTTGTTATAGAAGGGCCAGCAGAACTCTTGGCTTAGAGGTAACGTAACAGGGATAGTATCGTCTGTGGATCAACTAGGAAAAACGAGCAAATTTAAATCACTGCTTATGCTACAGTAATTGATATAATTTACTGTTCAAGCTACAGTATAACGGTGCATTCTTTGTAGCCTTTCGTTAAACCAAGAAAGAAAAAATCCGCTTCAAATATAAAAAAGGTGAGTCCATGAGAAATAGTTTTGTTTTCATTAACCGATCTGATTCACTCTATAACTGATCTGTTTTTGGAACCTTGTTAATGAACGGTTCTCCTAAACGATATAGATTTGATTAACCCACCAGCAGAGCTTGAGAAGAGGACGCACAAGCTCAAGCGACTTGTTCAGTTCCCAAACTCATTTTTCATGGATGCGAAGTGCCAGGGTTGCTTCAACAGAACTACTATTTTTAGTCACTCGCAAGTTGTGGTGGTGTGTGTGAACTTCCAGACTGTGTTGTGCTAACCAACAGGGGTTGTGCCAAGCTTAATGTGTGGGACGGCGAGGACTTTGGCTTCATTATGTTTGTAGACAAAACGGAAGGGAAGAGTGCATCAGCATTAGAGTATGCCTGTGTTTGGAGATTACTAACATATTAAAAAATTTCAGGTACTTTGTTTGGATGAGTGCACAGCCAATGTTGACACTCAAACAGCTTCAGTGCTGCAAAAGCTTTAGATACAGTTTCATTTCTAGTTCAAATTATATGAAGAGCTTTTCAACATATTATTCTCTGCTTTTGTAGGTTGAGCAAGGCAAACCAGGAGCTCTTTTACATGATGAGTCCACCATATTTTCAAGTTTCGCTAAAGCTTCGACAATGTGATCACCTAACAGTTGCTATTTGCATATCCAACAGGGGTGCTCTTTCAGGAAGAAGAGTGAGTGAAGATTATCATAATTTATTGTCTCTTTAAATCTTCTTTCCCTGATTGGTAAATTGCTCAAGAGTTCTTTCCTAGGCAGGATGATGATGAATGGAACGGCGGTGCGTATTTTGATTTTGATGTTTAATTTCTTAGGTTATCTGTGAGAATATATATGAGATTTTGCATTTGATTCAGTGAGAAATGTTTTGAATATCAATTTAAGTTCATTGTCACGTAACAATTTAAGTTAATTGTTACGTGAGAATATATATAAAATTGTGGGATATTAACTTGTTAATTGGTTTTGAAGATTTCAAGCAATTCGCGCACTTAATCATACCGTTCGGATCTGAGAATCTTCTTCTTATCTATGAGTAATTGGACTTGTTTGATGTGTGTGCATAATCTTACTAGGCTATGCATCTGAGGGAGCTAGGAACCTCACCCCAAAAGTGGGCTCACACACGGGTAGCTGCTGGGACCCGAGTGGCTTGCTATCATGATGAAATCAAACTCTCTCTGCCTGCAATCTGGACACAGTCACACCACCTCTTGTTCACTTTCTTCCATGTTGATCTTCAAACAAATTTGGAAGCTCCAAAACCAGTACATTCTATATCTGTTTTCTTTCCATATTTTAACATATATATATGGTTTATATTTAACTAATCGACATTCAGATATTTGCATCTTAATATCAGTAACTTGGAAAATTAGCGCTCCTTTTAGTATAGGAATGTATTTTGTTTTGAAACAAAATCCCAAATTCCAACCTTCTGCTCTGTTATTACTGCTGGAAAAAAGTGACACCGTGTGCATATGACTTGAAACCCAACCCAACCTAACTAAATTCTGCTGGTGTAAATACTACTTCTTCCATATGCATGCAGCTTGAAATTTATTGAAATAGTTTGGTTACTATGTAGGCAAAACTATTTCTCATGCCCTTGAAAAATATTGCTTTATCTTCTGCAGGCAAAACATCTATTGAAAAAGTGTTTCTCGTCCCAACAAACAAAAAAGTGCTGATATAGTTATTGCTATATGGTCTTAGTGGAAAAGCATATTCTGGTGCATTTACAACACTCCGATTGTATCGATCTTTTAACAATTTCTCAACATAAGAACTTGTTTTCCATGATCATCACTTAAATTCATTCTAGTTGAAACTAAGTCTTTTAACATACGATATATAACTAAAGGCATGTGCTACATTCTTGCAAGACATCACTGCATAGGAAGCGTTATTTTCTATTGGGGGCTGTATACTGAATGTTACTATAATTCCTATTTTGCATTAATTTTCATTAATGTAGAGGTTGTTATGGTAGAGTTCAAAATGTATTTTGTTGTGAATTGACTTTATACCATTTCTCTTTCTAGGTGGTGATTGGATATGTAGTGCTTCCATTGTTAAAGCCCATTGCTTGGTATATTTCTCATCTCTACTTTTTTTTTATTGAAATATTTTCAGTTTAATTTAACATTTTTATATCTTGCTTTTATTTTAAGATTTTAAAAATTATTATTTTGTATTAGTACGTGTGATTTAAGGGTTTAGTGTTTAGGATTTTAGAGTTTTAAGGTTTAGGATGTAGGTTTAGGTTTTGAGATTTTAAGGCTTAGGATTTATTTTGGGTTTAGGATTTATTTAGGATTTTAGGCTTTAGGTTTTAGGATTTAGGTTTTAGAATTTTAGTGTTTAGTATTTAGTTAGAGATTTAGGGTTTATAATTTAGATTTTTGAATTTTAGGGTTTAGTATTTAGTTAGAGATTTAGGGTTTATAATTTATTTAGGGGTTTAGGGTTATTTTAGGTTGTTTGAAACAACAAAAAAGAGCTTCTCGGACTCGACAAGTAGATTTTGGATCTCTTAGTAAGATTTTTGAGGTATAACTTTCTATAAAGATCTTGTTACTTTCTAAAAAGAAATTTATTTAATTTTTAATGCATCTAAGGCTTGTTAAATTTTTAGAATGTAGAGGATGAAATCAGCGAAACAAAGCTTGATGATTTGCGCATAAGTTGAATGGAAGAGAAAATTATGATGCTCGTTCTCCAAAAATGTCAAAAAATCCAAGACTTAAAGATGCATTTAAGAATAAATTGGCATCACTTGGTATTTTTCTCATCTCTACTTTTATTTTTTATTGAAAAGCGTTATATTTAATTTAACTTTTGTACCTCATCATCGGTGATTTAGGATTTTAAGGTTTAGGATTTAGTTAAAGATTTAAGGTTTACAATTTATTTAGGGGTTTAGGGTTTATTTTAGGCTATTTGAAAAAACAAATAAGAGTTTCTCGGACTAGGACAAGCGATTTTGGATATCCAATAAGATTTTTGAGGTATAAATTTCTCCCATGATCTTTTGTACTTTCTAACTAAAAATTTATTTATTTTTTCACGCATCTAAGGCTTGTTAAATTTTGTTAATATAGAGGATGAAATCGGTGAAAAAAGCTTGATGACTTGTGCACAAGCGAGAATGGAGGGAGAATACCGATGCCTATTCTCTTAAAACGTCAACAAAATCAAAAAGACTTGAAGATGCATCTAAGAATAAATTGGTGTCACTGGTATTTTTTTCATCTCTACCTTTTTTTTTTCAAGGGTGTTATTCTTGATTTAACTTTTGTATCTCTTGCTTTTATTTTAAGTTATCAAAATGTACTTTAATTTTTGTTTTCTATATTATTTAGTGTGATTTTGGTGTTTAGGGTGTAGGTTTTAGGATTTTAGGGTTTAGGATTTATTTAGGGTATAACTTTAGAGTTTAGGATTTTAGGCTTCAAGTTTTAGGATTTGAGGATGTAGAATTTAATTAGGGATTTAGGTTTTAAGGTTTAGGATGCGGTTAGACATTTAGGGTTTGAGGGCTTACAATTTATTTAAGGTTTAGGGTTTATTTTAGGATTTAGGGTTTAGAATTTATTTCAACTTTAAGTTTAAGATTTTAGGCTTTTGGATTTTGGATTAGTTAGTGATTTAGGTTTTAGGTTTTAGGATTTTAAGGTTTAGGATTTAGTTAAAGATTTAAGGTTTACAATTTATTTAGGGGTTTAGGTTTTATTTTAGGCTATTCGAAAAAACAAATAAGAGCTTCTCGAATTTGGACAAGCAAATTTTTGACATCCAGTAAGATTTTTGAGGTATAAATTTCTCCCATTATCTTTTGTACTTTCAAACTAGAAAGTTATTTATTTTTTCATGCATCTAATGCTTGTTAAATTTTGTGAATATAGAGGATGAAATCCGCGAAACAAAGCTTGATGACTTGTGCGCAAGTTGAATGGAGGGGAGAATAGTGAACAAAATTATTCTCCTAAAACGTCAAAAAAAATCCAAAAGACTTGAAGATGCATCTAAGAATAAATTGGTGTTACTTGGTATCATCTTCACTTTTTTTTTCAAAAGTGTTATTCTTGATTTAACTTTTGTATCTATTGCTTTTATTTTAAGTTTTAAGAATGTACTTTAATTTTTGTTTTTTGTAGTTGTTGGTGTGATTTTGTTGTTTAGAGTGTAGGTTTTAGGATTTTAGGGTTTATGATGTATTTAGGGTATAACTTTAGAGTTTAGGATTTTAGGCTTTAAGTTTTAGGATTTTAGGATTTAGAATTTAGTTAGGGATTTAGGTTTTAGGGTTTAGGATGTAGTTAGAGATTTAGGGTTTGAGGGCTTACAATTATTTAAGGTTTAGGGTTTATTTTAGGATTTAGGGATTAGGATTTATTTAAGCTTTAAGTTTAGGATTTTAGGCTTTAGGTTTTAGGATTTTAGATTTAGTTAGTGATTTAGGATTTAGGTTTTAGGATTTAATTAAAGATTTAAGGTTTCCAATTTATTTAAGGGTTTAGGGTTTATTTTAGGCTATTCGTAAAAAGAAATAAGAGCTTCCGGATTGGACAAGTCGATTTTGGATATCCGGTAAGATTTTTGAGGTATAAATTTCTCCCATTATCTTTTGTACTTTCAAACTAGAAATTTATTTATTTTTTCATGCACCTAAGGCTTGTTAAATTTTGTGAATATAGAGGATGAAATGAACGAAAAAAAGCTTAATGACTTGTGCACAAGTTGAATGGAGGGGAGAATGCCGATGCCTATTCTCCTAAAATATCAACAAAATCGAAAAGGCATGAAGATGCATCTAAGAATAAATTGGTGTCATCGGTAATTTTTCTCATCTCCATTTTTTTTTCTTAAGTGTTACTCTTGATTGAACTTTTGTATCTCTTGCTTTTATATTAAGTTTTCATAATGCACTTTAATTTTTGTTTTCCGTATTTGTTGGTGCCATTTTGTCGTTTAAGGTATAGGTTTTAGGTTTTTAGGGTTTAGGATTTATTTAGAGTATAACTTTAGAGTTTAGGATTTTAGGCTTTAGGTTTTAGGATTTTAGGATTTAGAATTTAATTAGGGATTTAGGTTTTAGGGTTTAGGATGTAGTTAGAGATTTATGGTTTGAGGGCATACAATTTATTTAAATTTTAGGATTTAGGGTTTAGGATTTTAGGGTTTAGAATTTATTTAAGCTTTAAGTTTAAAATTTTAGGCTTTAGGATTTTTTGATTTTAGGATTTTTAGTTTAGTTAGTGATTTAGGATTTAGGTTTTAGGATTTTAAGGTTTAGGATTTAGTTAAAGATTTAAGGTTTACAATTTATTTTGGGGTTTAGGGTTTATTTTAGGCTATTCAAAAAAACAAATAAGAGCTTTCGGACTGGACAAGCAAAGTTTGGATATCTCGTAAGATTTTTGAGGTATAAATTTCTCCCATGATCTTTTGTGCTTTCTAACTAGAAATTTATTTATTTTTTCATGCATATAAGGCTTGTTAAATTTTGTGAATATAGAGGATGAACTCAACGAAACAAAGCTTAATGACTTGTGCACAAGTTGAATGGAGGGGAGAATATCGATGCCTATTCTCCTAAAACGTCAACAAAATCCAAAAGGCTTGAAGATGCATCTAAGAATAAATTGGTGTCACCGGTTTTTTTCTCATCTCTATTTTTTTTTTCAAAAGTGTTACTCTTGATTTAACTTTTGTATCTCTTGCTTTTATTTTAAGTTTTAAGAATATACTTTAATTTTTGTTTTCTGTATTTGTTGGTGTGATTTTGGTGTTTAGGATATAAGTTTTAGGTTTTTAAGGTTTAGGATTTATTTAGGGTATAACTTTAGAGTTTAGGATTTCGGGCTTTAGGTTTTAGGATTTTAGGATTTAGAATTTAGTTAGGGATTTAGGTTTTAGGGTTTAGGATGTAGTTAAACATTTAGGGTTTGTGGGCTTACAATTTATTTAAGGTTTAGGGTTTAGGATTTTAGGATTTTAGGGTTTAGAATCTATTTAAGCTTTAAGTTTAAGATTTTAGGCTTTATGATTTTTGGATTTTGGATTTAGTTAGTGATTTAGGTTTTAGGTTTTAGGTTTTAGGATTTTAAGGTTTAGGATTTAGTTAAAGATTTAAGGTTTACAATTTGTTTAGGGGTTTAG